TTAAATTAAGTTACTACATTGGGGAAACCCTATTATTTACTATATATACCCATTATGGTAACCCTAAACCCTAAACCCCAAACCCATTATGGTAACTTAATTTAAGTTCCTTAACAGCAACCCAGTTTTGACAGGCCTGTGTGGTGCAGATACCTGTCCGGGCCCCACTGCTTCAGAGGCCGCGAGGTCGGCGCTTGTTATCGATTAGCATGTGAGCTGTAGTCTAAACTCCTTAAAGGGGTATATAAAGGGGATTATATAGGGGACTACTATAGGGGTCATTAAGGGGGATACTAGGAGTTTAGACTATAGCTCATGTAGGCTTCTACCATCTTCTACCCCATTTGCACAGTATGACTTACATGGGTGGCTGTCAAAATTATGGTCTCTTTTGGGTACCCTAAATATTAGGTGCCGTATTAGAATAGGGATCCAAAAAGGGACCATAATTTTGACAACCACCCACATGGTTGCCTTAGAACGTGTGATGAGGATCGTGCCTGAGGCGAGCCAGGCGTATGTAGTGGTCGAGCTATTGGTGGCTGAGTGGCCCTGCGAGGACTGAAATTTTTGTGTGCTTCGACTGCTAGCATCAAAGGCACATAGGGGCTTCCCAAAATTCAGGTATAATAGGGATTATAATAGTTTGGGGTCTATATTTTGGTCCCTCTATTTAAGGAAACTACCACATAGGGTCCTGGGAAATTTCATTCTAGATAATGTGGGAAGGCTTGTCAGACATCTCGGTGGCCTGCAGGAGTTCTTTCCGTACCTCTCGATCTTCCCAGGCTACTGGCTACTGCTCTGAGCAATTCAAAGAGCATCCTCTCTTCCGAGCACGTGTAAAGAACTGAATATCGTTTCGTTAGGATCCTCACTAGGCAATATCATCTTGGAATATGCTACATGGAAAACCCTGTATGGTCCCTGGACACTTGGGCAGGTTTCGACCCGTCCAAGGAGAACGTTGCAGGCTTCGGTGCTGCTGGGCCATGTACCCTGGAGTACATTGCCGAACAGGCCGTGTGCAAACGTCATCGGAGCAAGAATCAATAATCGTAGCAGTCTTTATTTCCTTGAGCAGAGGAAGGAGCAGTACTCAATGGCATTTCTTGGTGTCATCACCAGTACTTTGCAGTCATATACAGTCGTATTGTCCCCGTCAGGGGAGAAGGAGTGGTAGCAGCGGTAGCCAGGTAGCAGCATCAGATACCACCAGGAAAAGCAGCGTTACTGCTCAGAAAAAGTACCTGCAGAAGAAGTAGTAGAAGAAGTAGAGGTAGAGCTAGAAGAAGGAGAAGAAGAAGGAGCAGGAGCAAATGGCAGTGGCACTAGCAAGCAGTGCAGCAGCAGCGTCGGAGGCCGCAGCGCAGCGACAGCAGCAGCAGCAGCAGCAGCAGTTGCTCCAGTTCTAAGAGCAGGAGAAGGATGCATGGTTTAGGATCAATAAGGGTTGCAAGTAGAGGCAACGAGTGGCAGGAAGCAGGGTCTCCAGCCCTTACTGTTAGATCGCAACATCTAAAGCCCTCCCTGAAGACCTCGGCCCATCTCAAAGGACTCTTGCCACCTGAACAAGCTAACATGATCAACGCAACCTTTGCCCTTGCAGTCGTGGACGGTCCTCATGTGGTGGAGGGTAGACACCTTGTCGGTGAGGATTAGAAACTAAGTTGATGAGCCATCTAATGCCCTTGTGACCATACGAAATATAGCCAACTCCGTAGTACAATTTCCGTTGGCACGGGAGGCTGTGGAAGTGATGAACTCCTACAAGATGTACGGCCTAGTAGGCTGCAATTGTCCGGGCCCTGTATAGCTCTTTGATGCTCTTTGCCGGAGTGGAGTGTCGTCGTTTTGTGTTACTTAGGCCAGCATTTTGCTGTGGATGTGCTGAAGCGCCTGCCGGGCATCAAGGATGCCCCAAGCCCCGATGACCAGCGCCTCGCGGAGGCTTCGTGTGTTCGGTTCAGGTATAGTCCCCCTTAAGTAGATAGAAGTTATATAGGGATAATGGAAAAGAAAATGGAAACTACTATATAGGGTATAGGGCATAGTCCCCCTTAAGTAGATAGAATATGGCTTTGGGTATATTATAGTAAGATCCCCAACTACCCCATATTCTATCTACTTAAGGGGAACTACAGAGCTATGGTGCCAGCATTGACCTGCACAGGTCATTGAGAAAAGTGCCAGGGCAGTGGGAGCCTTTGCAATACGGTATTTTTGTTGCCAGATCTTGGTCCGCCTGCATGATGCCTTCTCGGCTGAACAAATATGTTGGGGATTATAGAAGGGACTACTATAGGGGTTCTTAAGGGGGGTACTAGGAGTTTAGACAATAACCCCTATAATCCCCGGTGTAATCCAAGTTTCTATTTTATTTTCCATTCTCTTTTCCATTTGATTCTTCAGTGTGGGGGGATTATATCTCGAAACCCTATTCCCTTAATCCCAATATAAATAGGTTTTTAGGGGTCCTAGGACCAGGAGTTCAGTCTATAGCTCATATGTCGTGTTGCCTGGTTTTGAAAACCTGCCCTCGGATTCGTTGTACCCAATCCGCCTCGCTGCGCTTCCGGCTTTGCTTGTATTGGGGTACCATTCTATGGATTATATTGCAATCATGGAAAAGGCAATGGAAACTATTTTTAGGATGTATACTTATACAGTTGTTGCGCATATTACATATTATTACCATTTTATGACTCTTGGCTCAGATCAGCATCACGAACGGCGTGCTGAAGGGCTTGGTTTGCTTTGAGCTTAGTTGGAGCCTATGTTCCAGTCCACTGTGCCAACTTGGTTCACTGCAAGTAAGGTGCCAAGACCGCGAGTACCTTGACCACCAGCGCCCTGGATTTGCAGCATTCCTCATCGGGTGTGCGAAGAACATGCAAGTACTAACAGATCAGATGCTGACGGCTGTGCCCTCTAACAGGACGGACATGCTTTCTACACTCGTTTGTGATCTGAGGCCTTGCAACTGGAGGAGTGGCAGGCGAGGTCGGGAAGCGCACGCTGGCCCACTTACCAGTTTCTTACATCTCCAATAGACGATGCCAAAATGCAGCAAGACCGATCCACTCCATCACCTTGTCATTACAGCTGTTTCGCTGTGGCTTTGATCGTCGCTCATACTCAATCCTTGAAAGCGTTTGCTCTGACTGCTGGCTTTGCTTCGCAAAAATTTCGATCCGTGCCTGAAAAGCACGCAGTACCTTGGACGGCCTGCATCACCGTGGTCAAGTCAGATGTTCCTGCAGGAGGAGCAGCAGGGACGATGGCTCTCGGCCTAGGACGGGCTTCGTCAACGCCTCACGGATGTTCCATGCAGCTATTCTATCAGCATCAAGATCTTAAACCAGGGATGGGGCACCAGCAGAGCGCACAGTCGTTCGCATTCGAGCATGTATCTGCAGAGGGTTACAAGCGACCGCAGAGGTTCTGCGATGTTATACTGCTATGCTAGTTTTGTGGACAAAGTGACAATGCTAGTGCTTCTACATGAGCCTAAATGGGTCATCCTGATGAGCGGGAATATTCGTTCCCAGTACAGGAGCAGCACTGCAACTAGCCACTAAGTGCTGCCAGTACTGGGTGGAGTACGGCTGGTACCTGCAATTGGTAGTATTCTTATTGTTGTTCTTCCTGCTCTACTATTACTTTGCTGCTCCTCACTTGCCTTTTGGAGGAGTGGCGGTGCTGACCGGACATATTGTCTGCGGCTGCGTTGTGGGAGCGGCTGCCTCCACAGGTGTCTTGTTCCATGATGCCAGGGCTTGATCTGATTCAATGGAAACTACTATAGTATATTGGGGTTATATTGGGGTAATATTGGGATAATGGAAACTAAAATGGAAACTGCTATAGCATATTGGGGTTCTGCATTTTCATGAACCACAAGGCAACTTTGACTTTGCATGTGGATCTGATAGCATCGCTGCGGTGATTTGATGAATTTCGCTCCTTGCCCTGATTGACAGGGATGTGAAGGCATTGACAAGCTCTTGTAAACAAAGGCTAGCTGCATCTGGAACGTGCAGATCCTTCTAAACGGCCCAAGATATGCAGGTTTAGCATGAAACGTACCGAGGCCGTGATGGGGTTATATAGGGATAATGGAAAAGAAAATGGCAACTACTATAGGAACTACTATGGTCAGTGTGTGCGCGCCCTGATGCCTCTTGCCAGCTAAGGTGTTCGCAAGGGGTATGAGTGGGTCACCAGCCGTCACCGCTATTCGGACCAGGCCTGCTGCATAATATGATCTATAGTCTAAACTCCTTAAAGGGGGTTATATAGGGGATGGTATAGGGTATTATTGCAGGGGTCATTAAGGGGGATACTAGGTAGTTTCCCAAAAAAGGGGGACACCAATATAGACCCCGAAATATTATCGTCCTTTTCATATGAGCCCCCAAAATGGTACCCCTGATTTTGGGAAACCCCGGAAACCCCCATTTGTGCATACAGCTTCTTGGTGTAGGGGACCAACAGCTGCTGAACAGGCTGAAGAGGCAGCAAGTACCAAGCCAGAGGCACCTGCTGAGACGCAGGAGACTTCTCCAAGTAGCAAGGATGTCCTGGGGCCGCTGCATCCTCTAGAACCTGCTTCCATGGCAGATGTGGCTGAGTCCACCGGGGTGCAAGGACCTCTGGGAGTGATGTGAGTAGTATTTTATTTGGGGATATTATGGTACCCAATATAGAGTAAGATTATATCCTCCTTTTGGATTATAGTATTTCATATAAGGAATATTATCTTAGTAGGTTCAACCACCAAAAAAACACTACTCATGTGATAGACCAGCAGTTGGTCTACTACATACTGGATCCGGCCCTGACTGTTCAGCCGCTGCTGTAGACATGTCTGCCCTGTTGACTCTTGTGCATGGGCCTGCTCCAAGCAAGCCAGAACAAATTGCTCGGAAGACCGCAACGAGGCTGTTGTGCATTGAGGATTCCAAATGGTAGTTTCCCAAAATAAGGGGACCCTAATATAGACACCAAAATGCTATAATCCTTATTATGGGGACCCCCAAAAAAGGTACCCCTAATTTTGGAAAACTACCAAATGAGCTTTCGTCGGCTGAGCATGCGACCAAAGCATGGGCTGGATCCCTTGCAAGTTGCAAAGACTGCATGTGGGTGGTTGTCAAATTTATGGTACCCATTAGGGTGATATTAGGGTAGTTGTATTGGGGTTACATGGGGGATGATGGAAAAATGGAAACTACTATCATGGGTTATGGGTGGTTGTCAAAATCATGGTCCCTTTTTGGATCCCTGTCATAATACGACACCTAATATTTAGGGTAACCCAAAGAGGGACCATAATTTTGACAACCATGTGAGCTGTGGAATCTGTGGTCAGTGATCACTTCCATGGCAGCACAATCTCGGAAGTGGCCTCCGTGATCTGCTCTCTGTTGCCTCGTTGGTATAGCAGACTTCCAAGAACAATAATAACAATAGTAAACTATGATCGCAAAAAAGGGACTAATAGGGTATATATAACCCCAATATAGTAGTTTCCATTTTCTTTTCCATTATCCCCATAGATCTTAAGCCAGCAAGTTGGAGGGCAGAGGGCAATTCGGACCTTGCCATAATGTAGCTTCAGCCTTGCATTGAGAAACGCACGTCAACGTTACTCATAGAAGCCAACGGGATTTACGCACCCGATCTGACATAGAACAGAAGAAGGGAGCAGAAGGGACTGTTCAAAAAGTGCCATGGGACCCTCATGAGATGTGCTGCTGCGCTGCAGTTGCTTGAAAGGCCCTGGCTGCCTTATCTTAGCTGTGCCCAAGCATCCAAGACAAGGTTGCTTTGGCTGCGATCTCACCTGGGTTGTTTCGAAAATTTGGGTCACACTTTGGTACCCCTAAACAGTAGGTCAAGGGGCCCATAATTTTGAGAACAACCCACCTTCATGACGCAAGACAACAGTGCTGGCATGAAGCATCGTAACATTCGCGGTCTTGAATTTTTAGAACTCCAATGAGCGCAGTTGACACAGGCTGCTGCAATGAACCGAAGTACCACATGACCGAGTGTGAGAAGAAGATTCACTCGGAAATTTGCTGTTTTTTTGATCGTAAACTGATCCTCATTGAGTAGCCCAAAGCCGATCCTGACTGTAGTTGCCTGGTCCCAGCTGTGCCTTGTACAAAGAATCACATTCCACATCGAGCTGAACATCGCAGCTAGCCAGAATTGCTTTGCAATGTTGACAGCACGTGCGGGATGGACATGCAAGAGTGTCTTTCAGAAGGCAATACTTTTCAGTGAGTGAGGATCACCGCAGCCACTGATTTATCAAAAAGCATGGACTGCCGGTCAGGATTCGAATCGGTGCGTCAAAGCGCCAAGTCCCAAGACAGGCACAAGCGCAATGGCCGATATCATGAGATCTGCTTCACCAGCATCCCCAAAGCCCTTTTTTTCTCGGCCATGGCATCATCATGGCTCTCTCGTGCGGCTTCAATGGCGGCTGCCGCCCAGGAAGCGGCCAAGGAGGCAACAAAAGAATCAAAGGGCTTCCATCCAATCTGATGGGGCGCATGTCCTGCCAGGCTGCCGAAAAGGCGGCCAAGGAGGCAGCAAAGCTGCGTGAAGAGGCTCAAGCAGCCGTTCAGCGCTCAGATGTGAACAATGGCACTAATGGGACCTTTCAGTTCGCTATGATTGTCTGCACTTGCTTGCTGAGGCTTCTGGATTTGCTCAAGGGGCGGCGTTCTGGCTGCAGCTCAGGTCACCTCAGCTACGTGTTGGTACAGAAGATCTCCAAAGAGCTTTAGTGAAGGTGTGCACATCAGCGCACAATGACTGGACAGACGTCATCCAAGGAGCGCCTGCTTCAGTTGCCGACTGAGACAAAGCCGGCAACTCTCGAGCTTCTCTTTGAGGCACTTACGGAGACATTCATGTCTGGCACATGAGATATCCTGCTGGAACCTGATTTGTTTTTACCAGCTGTGATTGTACATGCGGGGTAGGTGGGACCGTAGACATGGTTCAAAGAGGGCGCGCAACCCAATGCGGCTACACATGTCAACATAACCCCAACATAACCCTAATACAACCCCTATATAACCCCTATATAACCCTGTATAACATAGTAGTTCATGTAGTTTCCATTTTCTCTTACATTATCCTAATACCTGCAGGATGGGCCCCTGGGCTTTGAGCTGGAAGGTCCGCGCGTGGTGACAATTGCTGCAGAGGCGCCGGAGTGGGATAATGGAAAAGAAAATAGAAAATGAAATGGAAAATATAGGGGTTATATTGGGGTTATATAGGGAGCTACTATAGTATAATGGGGTATATATTGGGGTTATATTGGGATAATGAAAAGGCAAATGGAAACTGCCATATTATATAGGGTTATATAGGGGTTATGTTGAGGTTATATATGGATAGTGCAGGGATAATGGAAAAGAACATGGGAGCTATTGTGTATAGTATGTGCTGTGGGCTGTTGAGAATCCTTCACTTGGTGACTGAGGGGCAGGCAGAGCGCCTGGGGCTGCTCCCTGGTGCTCGGCTTGTTGCTGTCGGTGGCGAAGCCATACCACCACCTCCCCCAGAGGCCTGCCTTCGCGCAGCTTCAAGTAGCCATCGGAAGAATGTGGAAGAACTGCAGCATCAGCAATCATCGCATGTGCTGCCCGGCGCAGTATCCTTGTCCACTACTCTTGCGATCATTTAGCATTTTCAGCAGTGCCTAGATGCTGCAGGACTCGCCTACAACAGGAGACGCGCGAGTCAAGCGGCTCATCCGGTCGGCGTCCCAACTGGCTCGTGAGTTCATACAACATGCATGAAGGACTAACCTGCATTTTTAAGAGTATCCTTGTCGACTGCTGAAGTACCTTGTAGACTGCATGACATGTTTACTTCCATGAAGTCATGACATGCCTTTTCATGTTGCCTGAAATCGGTGGTAACAGTATGTAACAGTCTACAGCTGCGGTACATTCATCTACGGGTTCTCAATCAAGCTCAGGTAGGTGGTGTTAGTGGCGCTTGTCCCAGGAAGAGGATACAAGGAAAACCCCGACCAGTGGCCTGGAAGCATTTCCGGTGTTCTGCAATTCAGAACCAGCAGCAACAAAGCACTCTCCTTCAGCTCGAAGTCACGGGAGATGCTGCAGATATATCTAGTTGTTGACCGCACAGCTTTCGCTGATCAGCGCACCTTTTCGTGGTTATATGCTCCTTCCTGCCAGAAGTTGACTGATACAGCTGAAGACCCTAAACCCTAAGCCCTCAACCCGAGCTTTTGGTTTTTGGTATTGATGGTATTCCTTCCTGGAACCGAGATTTCGCTGACGTTCACGCCGCCTGAGGGGCAGCCGCAAGGCCTGATGTTGAACGCAGAGCTATCGTCTAAACTCCTAAGAGGGGGTTATGTAGGGGACTATATAGGAGACTACTATAGGGGCTATTCAGTGGGATACTAGGAGTTGAGACCCTAAACCCTAAACCCCTGGGGTTAGTAAGGGGGATCGCAGGAGTTTAGACTATGGGTCATGTTCTTGTTCAGTTGCAAGGCGAAGAAGCTCTGTTGTTTCGGCAGACTTCCTGAGGCCAAACGGCCGCAGCCGGCCCTCCAGGCGTTCCTGTCGCGCAACCGCAGGAAGCAACTGTGGTGGATCAGAGCCGCAAGCCTAAGAATGGCAAGATCTTAGATCTCCTTTCGTACCAAATCGTGTTTGGCTAGGTGCTGGTGAGGCTACGGACGCCGTGTCCAACGCTGGAGGAACCTGCTTGGACTCTCTCCTCTAGCAGAACTGCAAACCATTCAGAATTATTCCAAAGCTATCTATAGGGAAGTAATCTCTATACTAGTTTCGGGATTTTGGTAACCCCAATCCCAAAAATTTAGAAACCTACAGGAGTCGTATGATAGTCATAGGGTCTTGTCCGTGGGGGGGTTGGGGGTACGAAATTCCCCTGCATTATTCCCCGCATACATACCCCAATGGGTTCCATTAGAAGCCTCCAAGTGGATGGAGGACAGCCACCGACAGAGTCTGTGCGGACAGTTAGAGCTGGCCTCAGATTATGAGAAATAAGTAGTGAGGGGTTTAGGGTTTAGTGTTATAGTTAGCATTTTGATTACTGTTGTTGTTTTTATTATTGTTATTTAGAGCATTCTTCTGTTTCTTATTATTCAATTCTTATTGTCATTATTGCTAGTGTCATATTCCTGTTATTACTATTATTATCAGCAGCATTGTTAAACAGCTATCAAGTATTATATTTTAGTATTACTACTGCATCAGAAGCCTTTGGATGCCTTCTTGGGGAGTCCTTATCAGGAGTAGTCTATGGGAGTTTCCAACCATTGGGTATCTCTTTCTGCCAGTCCCTACCATGGACTGCACTGTACTGAGGTCTCGTAAAGGCCGCCCTGGTAATGGAAGCCCTACATAGTATTTTGGGGGTAAATGATTCCGTGCTTCGGGAAGCACCTACGCAGGATTGGCTTCGTAGAAGTTATTGAAGAAGGAGGCTTACTTACACCATGGGAGTTTCCCACACTTATGACATTCTTCGAACTCAAGGCACTTCAGTCGCAAGCCTCCTTCCATAAGAAGCAGGTGCTAGCAACCGTAAGCCCCAAGCCTTTCAACTGGAACAACCTCAAGGCCCAAATAGC